TTTTTTTTTTTTTTGTATTTTAGAGAATGGTCTACAGGGTATTCACGGTCTTACTACTAGATCTGACTCACACTGATCCGCCTGTTTACAGCCTCCCAAGTGCTGGAATTACAGGGGCCGGCCACCAGACTCAGTCTCAATTGTTTTCTCAGCATGCCCTGGGGGTGGGGCTGGCACACACAGGTCAGGGGATCAAAACCCCTGGCCCCTGCACCTGCTTGCAGGCACTTTAATCCTCAACTATTTGGCCGGCCCCTAGTAACTCTATTTTTTTTTTTCTCCGAATGCCTTCAAGGCAGGTTTGGCTGGCTTGAGTTCTGGGGATCAAGCACAGCAACCTCAGCCTGACTGCTTTGTTGAAGCAGCCACTTAAAGAACTGAGCTAAGGGGCAGGCCCCCGACTCTATTTTGGAAAACTGTTTCATATCATATACAAGGCACTTATTTTTTTGGTGGTAGTCATAGTACTGGGAACTGAACCCAGAATCTTCACACTGGCTAACCTTGGCCCATTTTTAATTTTGAGACAGGGTATTGCTAAGTCTCTAAGTATTCTAAGCTGGGCTTGAACTTGTGATGTTCCCAACTCTAGGAATCTGAGTTGGGAACAGAGAGAAACAGAGGTCATGAACTAAGGAACTATAGGCATGTACCAACAAGACCAGCTACCAAGAACTTTTTACCTGTACATGTATCAGACCACTTAATCCTAGGAATTGCTATGTTCTCTTCATTTGCATTTCAGAAATATGGACTGTAAACCTCAGAAGAGGGACACATCTGTAATTTGGTTTAATAATTTTTTTTTTTTTTTTAATGTATTTAGTACATGGTCTATAGAGTCTCACTATGAAGATGAGACTTATGATTCTCCTGTTTTTCTGCCTCCCAAGCTCTGAGATTACAGGTGCGTGCTACCATGCCCCATCTCAATCTCTGTCAGCGAGCCCCGGGGGCGGGGCCAGCATGGTACAGGGGGGCATGGCGTGTCAGGGTCAAACCCCCGGCCGCTGTACTCTGCCTAAGCAGTGCTTTAGTCCACTAACCTATCTGGCTGGCCCAACAAACAATTTTTTTTTTTTTTCCCTCCATAATTTTATTGAGAAACAAATAGCAATGAGACAGTTTCAAACCAAATTGGTAGGACAGTTTCAATAATTAACACGCTGCATAAATTCTTCCTAGTGGTTAACTGCTGTACAAGATGGACATGATATTCTATTCATTAAGAGAATGTAATGTCTCTTGGGTAGGTGGATGCTCAAGAAGAAGGGGATGGTGAATGAAAGCAAGAAACAAGAAAAGGAATATTGTGGGA